GTTGAATCTTGATCAGATTTTTAATTATGTCTCTTTATGTAAATGAGTTTGACCCCTGAGGTCAAAGTTCATGGGTTTGGCGTGTTTTATTAGAAATATAGTTATTATTTATTAACCTTTATTTAACCAGGCAAAGCCCACTGAGCTCACAGATCTGTTCTGCGGGGCGGCCTGGACCTCAAGGCAGACTAACATGCACGTTTAGTGGAATCTGGCCTTGTTGCACTTCCCGGGTCCATTTCTTTCAGGAAATAGTCCTCACCGTCCAGCAGCAGCTCTCTGATGACTCCTAAACATCTTCTGATGTGACATAAAAAACTAAAAGTAAACGAGAGTGTTATTTTTTATTGTTTAACATTCAGGGCAGCGAGGGAAACTTGTGACCTTTCTGCTTGTGCTCTGTGTAACAATCGCTTGTTTTGAAGTTGTTCACAGAGCTATCTGCAACAGGTAAGATATTAACTCAAATAAAATCTTCATATCTAATAAAACATAAACAGGCCTCAGAGATCAAGTTTAGGAGGGAACTTTGTGGGTCAAAGTTTACAAAAACCTTCAGATCAGCACGAGCTTCACATGAGGTCCACCTGATCGTTGAGGACTTGTTACCATGGCAACCAGCGTAAATCCAAACACACATAGAGTCGTCCAGGTGTGTCAGAGGGGACACGTCAGTCTGCAAAATCTCATTCAGCTTCCTGCAGAGCCAATAATCTGATCTACTGTACGTGCTCACACACACAGATGTTTACCGGAGACCTCGGGACTCTTTATGGCTCATTTGATAACTCAGTTTATGACGCCGACCTCTGAGGTGAAGTTGAAAGTCGGATCCTCCAGAACCAAACGGTCTGACCCAGTTCCACTGAGCTACACTCAGTCAGAAGAGAATCACAGACCGGTCCCATAAGATCCAGGTGTAAAAAACAAGGACTGTTTGATTAACCGTCAAATTACTGTATAAAACCACCATGCAGCTCTGAGCCAGTCCTCAGAAAACACAACGGCTCTCTAAGGCTTCTAAAGGTGGGGGCCAGTTAGAAGCCATTGGGAGGCCAGATGGAGGACAGTTGTGGGACAGTTGTGGGATAGTTGGAGGACAGTTGGGGGGTAGTTGTGGGACAGTTGGAG